GTTGATCTCTGGGGAGAGACGAGTGGGAACAGATTACCGGTGAGAAAGCTTACAAAACCAATTCTAGCTTTCGCAGTTGGAGAGCAGTGAACGCCGCACCCAGGAGAAGCCCATAATCTGCCTCGGGCACGGATTTCGCCCCAGATTTTGGTGCCAGACCAAAAATCCTCTTTCGGTCGTTGCCGAAAGAAAAGCAGGCGACGCTAAAACCGACCTGTAACCTTTTGTAAATAAAGCGAGCGAGAGGTAGCGAGATTTCTGACAGCTGGTAAATGTGATTTTGCTAATGAGAAGTTAATCTAGCCGAATCCTCTGTGAGAGAACTGATGCTGAATCTTTCACTACCGCTGCCGCCTTCAAGTCATGGCAGAAAGATCATATTTATGAGCTGAGAGTGTGTGAATGTTGCTCTTTAGGTACGTTTAAGCAGATTCTCAAAAAATCAACCCATAGTTTGTGGTGGGAGATAATTGCTTATGGTAATAAAGAGTTAAAGGTTCAGGACACCCTGTAGAACTTTTTTTTTATATTAACAGATTTGTGTGTGTTGAGCATCAGTTAAGTCAATGTTAGCACCTGTTAGCTTTAATTGTGGGGAAAACTGGATAATTTTGAGCTTTTGTCAGCTAATTTCAGCTTCCGGGTTTAAAATAATTTTTGGGGCGGGATCAAAATCGGCGACGTAGCGCAGTACTGCAAGTGCAATGATGACGCGTCGGTTTCTTATTATTATTTATAGCGGAGTTTTCTTATCCTATGAGAAGAGATAGCTTAATTATTCATGAGAGCACGTGCTTTCCGAAGGCAGACCTGCCAGTTTCAAGCAAGCTGTGAGTGAGACACAGACCAACGGCACGCAGCCGTTCATGAAGGCTCGTATGTGTTTGTTTCCATGATCCACGGGGTTTTGTTGCATGTTTTTTCCCCGCGATCCTGTCAGGGCCGATCATACAGCAAAGCTGTGTGTGTGCTGCAAGCATTTTTGTCGGGGGAGCAGCACGAGAATTAGAGAATGGCGGACGTTGACTTTTATCAGGAGTTCGTTCACATTCAGACACATCACTGTGCTGCTGTGTTTGCCTAAATCCTCTATATTACCAGCAGGGCTAATGGTTAAAATAGACAGGTCAGGAGACCTGCTGCACTGAGTCTGCAATCAAGATCTATAATTTAGACACGGGGATCGAGGAAGAATCCTCATAGGGTTTACATGAACACACTTATCTTTATAATGATATAAATTGTGGTTATGTGTATATGAAATTACGAATAACAAATGTAGCAGGGCATTAAATCACTGTTCATTTCTTTGCATTTTAACTTTGTAAACTATAAACTCATGCGTCTCCTCACGGTTTGTGTCTTATTTTGTAAGCTTACTGACAACAACAGTTGTTCGTTCCCCTTCTCCCCTGCTGGCCGCGCCCACTCCTGCCCGATGCTCGCGGAGCTCCACGCCCATTAATCATGCATCTTTTGAAAAAATTCTGAAGTAGACTTTAACCGAAAGTGGGGGGTGTCATGGCCCTTTAAATGTTGAACGTATGATTGAGTTTGTATATATTAGTGATATGTTTCTAATTGGCAAACCGTTTTAACATTATTGTAAAATAGTTGGGAAACAATGAATAATACATTTAAATAAATTGCTATATTAGGGTGCTTTCACATCTGTAGATCGATAGATTTGTCCCAAAACAGGAATAAAAATTGTGACAACGTTTATTTTCTTGGTGCGGTTCGCTTTCACACGGCAAAGTTTCTAAACACAAAAATAATTAAAAAAAAAAATTACAAGTAACGAGTGAGTAAACTCACCTCATATTGCTCAGTTTCAAGGTTTATTTTAGTGATGGGCAAATTGAGGCTTCATGAAACACTGAAACAGTCTAAGCTTCGAAACATTTTGAAAGCCGTCTCTACAGGGACACCTAGTGGTCATTTTTATGTATAGCTCTAAAACAGCTTCAGCAAAGAAACAGTTAAGCAAATTGAGGTATTTTACAACATGTTGTAGAGTTGAGGCTTCAAGGGATTTAGTGATGTGAATAAGTATGTCTTGTTTTGGTCATAAAAAATTAACATTATTAAATACATCGTTATAACATGTACAAGTTGGTATTCAAATTTGTGCCATTTGCAGGACAGTTACTCTGAGAACATGCACAGTCCACAAAACTACATGAGAGAGTTTTTGTTCTGTCAGTCAAACACAGATTCACCAAGTCTTGAAACGATTCTGAAATGGTCGATGCTTTGAAACACTTTAGTCACATGACCTGTGTTTTTTAAATCACCTTAGTCACGTGACCTGGGTGTTTCGGATTATGCTTCAGTGTTTGGAAACACATGCGCTTTAGGATCTTGACACTGTTTAAACGTCAGTTTCACATTAGCCATCCCTAGTTTATTTTTCACAATCCCACGGAATTCTCTCAGCTATCATACGTTATTATTTTAATATTAGAAAATTTCACATCTTTATTTTGATACATTTTGCTAATGTATAAACAACTCTCGTTAATATTTCAGCAAGCTTTCACTTTTGTATTTGGCAAGAAATGCTCATTTACCGGTAGAAAAGACATCCCACCCTGCTCATAATTCTCTCTTCATATAGCATTGTATATGGCACTGTGATATAGTTGGATCATACTGCTTTCTCACTACAATCAATCCGCTCCTGAGTTTGTTTCAATCGACTTGAGACCACCGCATTTAGGGGCCAATCACACCAAACGCAATTTTTCCCATTACAAAAACGCGAGGCGCACAACACTGCCTTTTTTGTTAACAAGAAAAAAAGCAGCACGTAGCGCCTTTTATGTCGCTTGGCGCCGACTGAATCAGCTGCGTAATGTGCGCGAGTGTTGCTCTTGATATTGGTATAATTAAAATTTTTTATAATATTGTAAAAAATTCAAGATTTGTGAGTCATACAGCACCGGATAACTGAAAACAGCAACCACGAATCTCTCGTCCCTCTTCAAAAGTCTCTGTAGTAGTCTTGACAACACAAACACTGCAGGCACCTCAACAGAAACCCCGCCTCTGTTTTCATTTGATTGGAGAGTGAAAAAGATGCGACTGATGTAACGCGCTTTTTCCACTCAGAGTTTATTTTTATCAACTGCGGGCGCACAGCACGTAACAGCAAAAATGCGAGGCGCACAGGGCGTATAAGCAGCGGCCAAAACGCTCACAGCCGTTAGTAAATCATTCCAAAGGCGGTTATTTGGATCGGATTGTTATGCCTCAGATCAGAGTGCAATTGCTAGATTCACACATGACAAACAAGCCGTGCTAATAGAGAAATGCACCATGTTCCAAATCAGAAGTCTAGGTGTGAAAGCATGCTTAAACACAATAGCTAGTTGTCTTTGTTTGCAAGTAAAAAGTTGTGTCCATTTCTTTTTCTAACAGAAGAATCTCTCTCTAAAACTATATTTTTTGGGGGATGATAAATAAATGTAAATAAGATTTATTCATTTTAAACAATAACTAATTCTAAGAAAACTAAACAAAAACAAACAAACCAACCGCTTTTGTGTTTTATATTGAGTACTATATACTATATTTTATATACTGGCAAAAATACTAAAGTTACTGTACTATACTGTACTATACTATTAACTATTTTCATGGCTGTAATCATTTGATTCTCAGTACAACTTTTAAGCTCATAATCACAAACTCTTCTGGACTTGAAGGCGGCATTTTGATGATTATAAATGCAGGGAAAGAAGCAAAGAGGAGGAACTCTGATCTAAAATCTGATGCTGAAGTTGTAAATGAATAGGGAGCTGCTAATGCTGCTGCCACTTAGTGGTGTTACACAATGTTACACTGAGACAGAAATACACAATACCGTATTCACATTAGACATCCATTAACACAGATAGAGATCTATAAATCAATAAATATTTACCCTTTTAACTCTACACACTTTTACAGGGATGAAAACAGATTCTTCATAACCTTCAAAGCAAAAATAAAAAACAGGTATTTTCAGATGGACTGCTTTACAGGCATATAGAAGAGCATTTCTGTTTATGCGTTGAAGAGTTTTCCATCAATTGCTGGCCTTAGATCACCAGCAAATAAATGAGAGCTCTTTTATCCAACCGTCTGAGACCAGTGAGCGGTTTGAGCGTTTCCTGATATGAGCTTTCACCTATAGAGTCTCCAGTCACTGAGAATAAGTTGATCACAGTTTAGAGCGGCTGAGATTTACACACAGATGCAGACAATTAAAACATCCAGATTCAATGCAGTAATGGAGGAGCAGCCAAGAATGAATCCCAAACATTTTAACAGCACAGAGAGCTGCTATAATGTGTTTATGTTATGAAGGAATTACTTATTAACACTTGGCCAAGAAGGTTGTCAATATAGACTGGTGGTAGAGTGGCTGACCGATATCTGTCAAATAACAGTGTCTTTTGCTGAACTGTGTCAATATATACACAGTTGAAGGCCCTCCTGTGAAATTATTTCAGCTACTAAATATAACGTTATTAATCATTATGATAATGATATTGAATTAAAAATATATATTTTTAAAATAGAAAAAAAAATATTTGCATTCAATCCAGACTGTTAAACATCCATTGAGAAATATTTTAAAAAGAATGAACATTTGTATTTTTACAATAAACTAATAATTAATGATCAGACTAATATGTAAACTCTTATATGATAAATATGCTTAATTTATATAATCAAAGAGGGAAAAGCTAATATAGTGAATATATATATATATGTATACATACATATATATATATATATATATATATATTCACTATATTAGCTTTTCCCTCTTTGATTATATAAGTATATGGATCATATAAGAGTTTACATATTGGTCTGATTATAACAGTATTACAGAAGGGTGAGGAGTTTGTACGAGTGCTGTTTTTGCAGAATATTGCACGGCTATCAGCCAATCAGATTCGAGAACCAGACAGAACTGTTGTGTGTGTATTATATATATATATATATACATACACACACATGTATGTATGTATGTATGTATGTATGTATGTATGTATGTATGTATGTATGTATGTATATATTAATTTAAATAATTTGATTTAATAAATGCAGCATGAAATATGAATGTTACTTTATATAATATTTATATAATATTTTGTTCATTTCAGATTGGGCATAACTCACTGTCTATGTTGGTTATGGCTCTGATGTAAAATTATTCTAATACATAATTGTCCCACCCTGTGATTTAGCGATCAGCATCAGACACTGAATTCCCCATACCGGTCCACCACTCGAAAAACACACAGCTTCAGATCCACTGGTGGCTTTCAGACAGAATTATCGGAGTCATTGTTTTCCAATGTGTCAATTCCTCCAGCAAATGTGTGTAAAGCCCACTCATTAAGCCCATCCATTCCGGACGGGGCCACACAATGCTTCCAGGTCCATAGGCCGCTGGCTAAAAAAGCTGTTTACAGGCCTGTCACCGTGTACCCTTTTGTTCCCTGTCAGCGTCTCCCGTCGTGAATCAGATAAACAGGGCATGACAACCCAACAATACATCTCTGGAGATAAGCGCGCAACAAACACCACGCACAAAAAAAACAACAACCGCTCATTCCTTTAAAGTGGAAATCTGAAAAATACGAGAGAGCGAAGAGACAGCAATCAATTACGAGCATGGCGGAGGCATGATCTTAATCAGAGATGAATGACTGGATGTGAGTGTTGAAACACCTCCGGGCTCCGTCCACCAACAGTAGGCCGCCATCAATAATAGTGCAGGTAAAAGAGGACGCAGGCAAGGTCATGTTTCCCAGTGAGCAAACACACACACAAGCACATGGAAGAAATAGCTCACGGCGTGTGACCTCAGTCCGGACTTGCTCCTGATCCACTCCAGGTCTTCTAAGACGCAATCATCAGATAATCAAACACATCAGATTTAGTTTTTTTCCATTCTGTTGTGGGATTGCTCACTCCTCGGCCTCTTCTACGTACGTGGAGGGGAACCAGCCCACCTGTGGATGGACAGAACAGAAGGAATGAGTGATTACAGAGGATTTGCGTCACTTCATTGCCTGAGTAACCTTGAGGAATGGTCTGCCGCGTGAGGAGAGAGTCAGTGCTGTGTTGGTTAAGGGATGCACACGGGCCTGAGCAATAATATCCAGCTGGACTGTGATGGAGATGATTTGCTTTGATCAAAGACAAATAAAGGAGGGAAAAGAGAAAGATGGAGAGAGAGAGGGAGAGAGAGAGGAAGGACTACTTTTGAATGTAGATGGCCATGTTTTGAGTGTTATGTAAGTTCAATTAGCAAAAGCTACCAGTCAGAATGTAGAGCTTTATTATGAAAAAAAAAAAAAATCAACCCTCCTGGGACTGAGGAGGTTTCGGGGCCCTGGATCTGTTTTTTTGTGACCGTTTGACCATTTTCAGTTTTTATGAATTTAGATTGATGACTAATGAACCCTTTTCACATTTTAGAGTTTCTCAGTAGCAGAAGTCGTCATAGTTGGGTAAACTTCTGCTGCTTTCACACCAGATGTGACATGTGCTAATAAATCACGTAAATAGATGCATGAACATTTTGAGTTTACTTGCTTCTTTCGCACGTCAAATTCGCTACATTCACATGTGAAATTCACTTCACAATGGAAGAGGATTCACGGCCTGGGCTTTCTAACGGCCCAATGCCTCTAATTTCGTTGCTAAATGGCTAACATGGATTTCATTGAGATAGTAGCTGTGCTTTATGTGCTTAAGGGAGGCTGAAAAACAGCATAGATTCATTCGACGCCGTGTCTGAGTGCACTAGATACTTTCAGAGGTGCACCCAGCTCTGTGACTTCATCAACTCCTTCAGAAGCTATACCTGGATGATGGAGGCTTTCAGTCGTGCTTTAAACTGGGCCGAGCCCAGTTTGATTAGCTGTTTTTGGTGTCGGCTGGAGGATTTCCCTTCAGGACACCAACTGCAGGTGCTACGTCATAATCAAGCCGGTAACACAGCACGAATGTTTGCTAAAGTTCAGATTTTTCAACTTGAGTGAATCGCGCATAAAACATGCAAAACACTCAGCTCGCACGACTTCATTCGCACAAATCACATCATTTACAAGACCTCATTCTCACAAATATTGACACAGGATATCTATTTGCGTCTTTGCATTGACTTAAGATGTAAATCAATGACAAAAGAAAAACTCCACAATGGTGTTATTAAGACTTACAAAAAAAAAAAAATTGTGAGACTGGTAACGACAGCCAGAAGAGAGAACAACATTAAATTTACTGTCCTGCTTATACACTCTGCATTACAAACACCTCGCACAAGCGGTAATTCATTTTTTTGTAATTTGATGCAAAGATTATGTAATACATTCCTAAATACGTGTAAATTTTCATATGTTTAAAAAATTATCTAAATATTCAAATCTTTCCAAGAAATTAAGGAATTAAGACTGTTAAACGCATCCGAAAAGTCTTGTGAAAAGGGTCCATATTTATGTGTGCAGTAAAACTAAAGCTAGCATTTCTTGGCAATTTTAAATAGAAATGTTTTCAGGCATATTTAAAGTCATTTGAAGACAACATAAAAACAATGGCGGAATAACATTGAATTTCCATCACAATAAATAAAAACATTTAATTTATTACATTACAATTTACAGTTTACAATTGAGGAGGCATTCACTGATTTAAAAAGAAGTGGCAATACACACAAAGGAACTCTTAGTGCTCAGAGAATTAAGTGTCAGAGTAAGTGGGGATTGTTTATTAATTTATTTATTTTTATAGACAGTGTTTCTACAGGTGGTTTGTCAAGCCCACTCACCTGTCTGAAACACACTTCATCAATGCAATAAAGCATTTTATTTATTTATTTATTTGTTTGTTTGTTTGTTTGTTTGTTTGTTTATTTGTTGAATTATTTATTAGATATTAAGTTATTTAAAAAAAAGATTGTAAGACTATTTTGATCAATTGCCTTTTGTTTTAATTTGGAACGAAGGTTACAAACTTTATGGAATAAAACAAAAATGAACATTTTACTCAAATCCAAGTCCAGTAAATTCAGAGAAACACTTGTTGTGCAAAATGTCTGGTTTGTATGTCTTAATTGTTTTTTTCACTGATACATTAAAATGCCCAAATTGGCTAAATATCTAAACAAGCATAAAATATTTAAATATGCATACTGACAATTTAATAATTTAAAGAAATTGAAACACATAAAATGACTTGCTGACCAAGTAAGTTTGATAGCTTCCACAACAGAATTAAAGAAAGGAACTGTGAATTTATCTCACAAATCAGATTTCAGACTTTTCAGACTCTGCAAAAAAAGTACACTACACATTTTCACACACATAAGTAACATGTAAATAAAGTTTCCTTATTAAAGTTCAGTTAATAGCTTTATTTGTGATATTTAATGTTTAAAATATAATAATAATAATATTAATAATAATAGTAGACATTAATGTATGTTCAGTGCAGAGAACACCTACGTAACTAAAATAACTGTGCAAGTAGCGTCTGTTCATAACACGCTTCTCTTCTATGATCTGAGATGACAGACATCCTGCTAAGAATGTCAGCAAACTGAAACCGCACAGAAAATGCGGCATCACTATCGAATTAAGCGGCATTATTTCTTACTGAGCCTCAAAGCTTATTTGTACTCAAAGCGCATCGAACTGTCAAATGTTTTTTTTTTTTTGAGCCTCTTGAGCCTCTTATAATGGTTTCATCAGGGAGGCTGTAAATGTAATTTAGTGCATGAAGCATTCAGGGCTGTTTTATGGATGCCAGTAATAGATTTTTTTGTGATCAGTGTTTTGAACAGTTCCTCTGCCTCTATCTCAGATGGACTGGTCTGCTTTTGGAGCTTTGTATTCATGTGTTGTATTTGTGCATGTGAGTGAAGCCTGACATGATAAAAGCAGCAGTAAATCACATCTCTACACTGTAAATATGACTTTTGTCCTGAGCTAGCTGTGGTTATCAAATGTGCTGTGTGGAATTATTTGGTTTTGATGGATGCTTGGTTTTATTTTTGTTTCATTGTGGTGAATTTTTTGTTTTATTGTCCCGGCCTGTAGTCAAATAACATTGGACCAAATTACAGTTTCACATAGTTGCATGTAATGTATGTTAAAATGGAAATATTTTTGAATATAGAAAATGAAAGCACAGATTTACCACAGTTTTAACTTATATATGCATATTTTCAGTGGTTTCCTATTCTATTTTCTATTATTTTATTCATGATTATTAAGTTTTTTCTCTATCTCTCTTCCTTTACTGAATTAAGAATGACTGTTAAGTTGACTTTGTGTTGGATATATCCTTTCTGCATTGTCTGGATATTCAATTGAGTCATGTGACCACAGTGTTCAAATGAACTCCAGATGCACTTGAACTTAATTACCCCGATGAAGGCAAGTGTTGCAGAAACGCGTAGGTGCTGCTTTATAGAAAAGCCATATTAATAAAGGCGTTTTAAATGTTTTCACTTACTTTTCATGTCCCTTAGACTTAACTATCATTTGGGAAATATTATATATATATATATATATATATATATAGATATATAGATGTCAAACATAATTAAAGTATAAAGCAAAATTTACATTACTTTAATCACATTATCCTCCAGAAATAAACCTAAGGTTTATATGATGCTCAGGATCTGTTTATTATCATCAATTTCTTGCTATGTTTGTAGAAACCATTACAAATTTTGTTTGTAATAAAAAAAGAACAGCTTTTATGTGTTGTATGTATAAACTACTGTCACTTTTCACAAATTTATTGCATTCTCGCTGGTTAAAGCATTCATAAAAAATGTTAGTGACATTTAAACAGTAGTGTATTTATTCTTAGAACTATTATTATTTATTTATTTATTTATTTATTTATTTATTTATTTATTTATTTGTAACAAAGTTTAATAAAATTTAGCTAAATTTAAGCATTTACTAAAATTAGTAAAAAAAAAATGTTACTGACCCTAAATATTTGAAAAGTAGTGTATATTACATTACCAATATATATGGTTGATTTTTATTTTATTTTAGATTTTTTATAGTCTTTATTATTATTATTATTATATTTAACAAAATGTAATAAATATTCTCTGAAGAAAAGCATTTCTTAAACATAAGTTACTCACCCTAACGTATATAATAGTTGAAGAACTCTAAGCACTAGTGTATATTACATTAGTAAAATATATGGTTGATTTTCTATTTATTTCTGCCTTTTTTCGATCACAAACGATGGTAAAGCACTTTGCGTGTATGGCCATATGTAATAAATGGCTATATAAACACACATAACCCACACACACACACCCACACACAACCGCACGCACCCGCACGCACCCGCACGCACCCGCACGCACCCGCACGCACACGCACACGCACACACACACACACACACACACACACACACACACACACACACACACACACACACACACACACACACACACACACACAGTTGAAATCAGAATTATTAGCCCCCTTTGAATTTTATATTTTTTTATATTACCTAAATGATGTTTATAGAGCAATGGAATTTTGACAAAATGTCTGATAATACTTTTTTCATCAAGAGAATGTCTTATTTGTTATATTTTAGCTAGAATAAAATCAGTTTTTAAATTATTTAAAACCATTTTAAGGTCAAAATTATTAGCCCCTTTAAGCTATATATATTTTTTGATTGTCTACAGAACAAACCATCATTATACAATGACTTGCCTAATTACCCTAACTCGCCTAGTTAGCCTAATTAACCTAGTTAAGCCTTTAAATGTAATTTTAAGCTGTATAGAAGTGTCTTCAAAAATATCTAGTAAATATTATTTACTGTCATCATGGCGAAGATAAAATAAATCCGTTGTTAGAAATGAGTTACTAAAACTATTATGTTTAGAAATGTCACATATAGTATATTGCATAATGCTTTTCATTTACATTTAGTAATTCATTTAGTTTACTTAAGTTTATTTACAATATACAGCTAATATACTAAATTAATATTGTATAATAAATTCAATAATATATTAGAATAATAAAATATAGTATAATATAACATAATATAATAATATTTAATATATAATAATATATAACATAATAGAATGTAAATAATATAATATATATATATATATATATATATATTTTATTATAAATAAAACTTTTTATTTATTTATAATATTTTCACATATTGTTTATGCATTATATAACATGTAATTAGCAGAAAACTTGTTTTTACTGCCCCCAAATGAACACACACACACACACACTGACACTCACCCGTCCATTAACTTCGCCCTTCCACCATCCGCTAGCTCCAGTTTTGCTGTAGATCCTCACCACATCTCCCTCCTGCATGGACAGCTCCCTGGTGTCCCGCGGGCTGAAGTCATACCGGGCGATGGCAACCCCAATCCCCTTCTGAGAGAACACTGTAGAGAGCAGAAAAAAAGAAAAAAAATATTAAATTAAGAGTGCACATCACAGGACAAAACCAAAGACGAGCAGCAGCCAAACACAGAGAGGATGAATCTGCTTTCCCTGAGGACTCTTGTAATCACTGCACTCCTCCATGTGTTTGCCTGCCTTCGCACATCCACTCCAAATAAATGATTCTCGTGAATCTGGGACGGGTCCAATCACAGCTCGAGTGGCTGTTTTGATTATGTCTTGAGATGTGTCAACAGCATAATCCGCTGGGTTAATTACATCTCCCTCAAAAAAAAAAAAAAAAAAAAAAAAAAAAAAACATTGCTTAAACCAGCTCGCTGAACGTTGGTTTTGTTGGAGGCGTTCGGTGGATTTCTCTAAATGCAGTGGGCCGAGGGAAATACGTGTTGGTGGATTGAAGCAAGCTTTTGTTTTATGGCACTTCAGAGGCTCGCAGGACTTTGTGAGCGGCAGCCAGAGGAACTAGGCTCTCGGCCAGACGTGTGTTGATGAGATCCGTCTCAGTGCCAGGATGCTTTCTCTTCTCTTCAGCTGCTTTAAAGTGAGCAGGACGTGTACAGACAGAGGACAGGCTGCCAGTTAGCAGACGTCAGGCTCAAAGAGAGAAGTTTGGGAAGAAGAGCGAGAGAGAGAGAGAGAGAGAGTGTCACTGTGTTACAGCATCTGCTTCCTTTTCATTTCAGCTCACTCGACAATAACAGTTCGTAATGATAGATTAAATATGAAAGTGACAAAAAAATAACAAAAAGTGAAAATATATATTATATATCCTGTTTATTTTTCCCCAATTTCTGTTTAACGGAGAAGATTTGGCCCATTTTTTAATATAATAGTTTTAATAACTCATTTCTAATAACTGATTTATTTTATCTTTGCCATGATGACAGTAAATAATATTTTACTAGATATTATTCAAGATACTTCTATAAAGCTTTAAGTGACATTTAAAGGCTTAACTAGGTTAATTATGTTAACTAGGCAGGTTAGAGTAATTATGTAAGTTATTGAATAATGATGTTTTTTTCTGTACCTATTGAAAAAAATCTAGCTTAAAGGGGCTAATAATTTTGACGTTAAAATGTTTTTTTTTTTTAAACTGCTTTTATTCTAGCCAAAATAAAACAAATAAGACGTTCTCTAGATGAAAAAATATTATCAGACATAATGTGAAAATTTCCTTGCTCTGTTAATTATCATTTGGGAAACACTTAAAAAAACTGGGGCTAATAAAAAGGGGGGTAATAATTCTGATTTCAAATATATATATTTCATAATATATATATATATTTCATAATATATATATATATATATATATATATATAACAAGTACTACTAATAATAATTAATAATAATATAATAATAATAAATAATTAAAATAATAATAATTATTATTATTATATTAATAATAATTACTATAAATAAAACTGATAACAATGATAATAAAAGTAATAATAGTAATAATAAATAATAATAACAACAAAAATAATAAATAACAGTTAAAAATATATAACAATAATTATACTCATAATAATATAAAAACAATAATAATAGTATATAAAATAATAATAACAATAATAATAATAATAATAATAATAATTATTATTATTATTATTATATGAATAATAGTATTATTAATACAAATAGTAATAATTGTAGTAATAAATAATAATAATAATAATAATAATAATAATAATAATAATAATAATAATAGACGAGGCAGTGCAGGCCTCGAAATTAACCTTTTTGCTTGGTTTGCTTGGTCCAATAAACGGAGCAATTCCAATAGGGCCTAGCACCGTTTAGTGCTCGGTCCCTAATAATAATTAATAATACATAATAATAAGTTTCAAATATTTTAAAGAAAAGAATCTGTCTTTTAAATTTACCTCAAGATAGATTTCAAACTGTTAGCTAACTCAAGCAAATTCATATGAATCTTTATCATCCTTTTGTGTGTTTTGCCCCAAATAAGAGGTAGGTTTAGGGGTGGGGTTTGTGTGCGCCACGGCTTTGAATCACTCACTTTTCTGACAATGCACAAAATGTATATGTCTGACAGTCTCTGTGGGTTTGGTGACCAGTTATTTAAATATTATGTTCATTTAAATCATTGTCAGTTTATTCAATAAACAGTTAGCAGTCCTGTATGTTGTATCTGATTAAGTTACCAAGCGGCCACAAATAGCTTTAGATAATTTACACATTGCAGTTGGTTGGTTTGTTTTGTGGTCTGAGATTTAAAAAAAAGGTCGAGAACCACTGAGTTAGATGACAGACAGACAGACAGACAGACAGACAGACAGACAGATAGACAGATAGATAGATAGATAGATAGATAGATAGATAGATAGATAGATAGATAGATAGATAGATAGATAGATAGATAGATAGATAGATAGATAGATAGATAGATAGATTTGTAAACTCGTTGCTTTGTTGTGGAAACGTCTGTAATAATCTAACTGAGATGAGATAAGGATGAGTCATATCATCTGTCTGATGTGCGGATGATAAAGGACACTGAATATGATGATGACAGCGGCTGTGAAATGATCTATAAACACACACACGCACAGTGAGATGAGGATGGGTTAAACACAGGCCGCGAGACACAGATCTGATCACCCTGACCAAATGACACTAATGAGAAGAAAAAAAAGTACCTGTACCTGACCAGAATGGGGTGGTAGAGGGGGGGACAAAGCTGTAGCCGGCGGGAGTTAGAAAAGACAGGCCGCAGAGCAGAGGGTCTGATGTGGGACAAAGCAGAGCAGGGGAGGGATGCGGCGGGGTGGAAAGAAGAGAAGCAAAACAAAAGCATCTTTAATTGAAACGTGACATTTGCAAGCAGACTGTAAGCAAATGCTGACTTTGTGCTTATTGTAAGAGTGCAGGTGTCATATGGGGGAGGGGCAGTCCACATCATCCAGCACATCAGCTTTATTTGTGAGTTTTCTTCTGGAAATGATTCATTTGCCAATTAAGCACTGACTGATGCCTGATGTGTAGTAAACTCTACTGTGGATGTGGCTAAAGTGAGATCTCTCTGCCATCTGATGATCTATCTCACTGTGTCGGCTTGGAGTATCACGGACCCTCGGTTTGCAGAAACACAATTTTTTTCCAAAGACGCTCTACTCTTAAAATAGTTGAAGCAAGGCGCTCAGTGTAACTAATTGTGACTTATAAATGATGACAATATGTTCTGTAATTACATTTTAAAAAAATCACTTATATATGATATAGAACAAAAACGGAAAGCATTTTCACTTATTTAATAAAAAGAACGTTTAATATTATTATTATTATTATTGTTATTATTACTACTTCTTCTTCTTATTATTATTATTATTCTTCTTCTTCTTCTTCTTCTTATTATTATTATTATTATTATTATTCAGCAGAAGTGATGCTTTAAATAACTTTAGTAATTTAGTATTTAGTTTAGTATTTTACATTAGTATTTTGAAGCATAACTTTTACTGCTCATGAATAATAATAATAATAATAATAATAATAATAATAATAATAATAATTTTTTATTATGGCCTAAATAATGATTTACACAATTAATAAATTATTAAAGGTGGCACACTTTTGAATCAAAACGAACAATTTAGTTCTATAAATAATTAAATTGAAAACTTTTTTACAATAACATGCCCTTTTGATGCACAGCCAGATCAGAAGTGTACTGAGACTATCATTTTTAAATTCAGTGTTTAGTTAAAAAAAACATACAATTTTGAGCTGTGAAAGCGAACCACCTGACTGATCCTCAATCTGCTCTTATTTGACTTCTTCACGCTCTTTCGTTCGTGAGCGGTTCAGCCGGGTTCAGATGCATCTCCTGTCTTTGTTAAACATCTGTTCAAAGTTTTAAAGGGACAGCCCAAGCTAACACCGCTCATGCATTTATGCAGCAGCACATGCTGTGTTTCCAAAAGGCCTCGTCTCTGACCACTACATAAACAGTGATGTCCGAGATGTTCGTGCACACTTGAGATTCCACCCCCGTCACTTCAGCAAACCCAAACAACCTCCTGTCTTCATCACATCGTTATCCACAATGAAAATATTCGGGGGTTTGGACCTGGCATCCCATTCAGTGGAATAAAAGTAGATCTCCAGTGCTTCCAACATACAGTTGAAGTCAGAATAACAACACCTCCTGAATTATACCCCCCCCCCCCTTTTTTTACGGAAAGGCGATTTAGAAACGTAATAGTTTTAATAACTAATTTCTAAAGGACTGATTTCTATTAGCTTTGCCATGATGACGGTTCATATTTTTTTATAGTGCATGGATATTTTACTACATATTGTTCAAAGTACTAGTATTCAGCTATTTTAGCCATAACTAGTTTAATTAGGTTATTTATGCAAGTTAGGTAATTAGATAAATGATTGTATAATGATAGTTTGTTCTGTAGACTATAGAATAAATATTTTCAGTTTTTTATTCTAGCCAAAATAAAACAAAAAAGACTTTCTCTAGAAGAAAAAAATATTATCAGACATTGTAAAAAAAATCCTTGCTCTGTTAAACATCATTGGGGAAATATATATATATATATATATATATATATATATATATAAATAAATAAATAAATAAATAAATAAATAAATATATATATATATATATATATAGACAAAAGTAAATAAATCACAGGAGGGCAGTGTTGGGGAAAGTTACTGTAGAAAATAATGCATTGAGTTACTCCCTAAAAAAGTAACTAGTTGCATTACTTAGTTACTTTTTTTGGTTAAATAATGTTACTTTTGAGTTACTTTTGTGTTACTTTTTATTACCTGGCTGAGGCTTGATCTCTTTCAGAACTTGTTTTTTTTTTTTCCTTTCTTTTTTAATAGAGGAATTCTGTGATTAACACTGCACTGTATAACCCACACCTTCATTTACCTTATAAAACAAATTAAAATATATATTTTAGGATAATTTTTTCTGAGTATCCCCTTTTTCTTTTCTTCGATGCGTTCAGAATAATGAACATATTCTCTCATTGACTGCATGATTCATTGTGACAAATTTTAATTTAGGAATTTATTCATTTAAATATAATTCGTCACCTTAGAATTATACAGTTCTATCTGACATTTTTGTCAAAATTTAGTTATTCACATATTCTTATTAAATGACAACTTATTTACATTATATTTTTAGTTTTTTTAATAATTTGTTTACATTTTAAGACTTGTTTATTTAAAAAAACAAATGTTACACACAGACTGTGTGCAATGGAATGCAAAAACTTTAAAGCTCAATATCTCAAAATCCTTCAGAATGCAGATAGAACCTTATAATTCCAAGCAGATTATTTAATTAAACTAAAAAGTATCTCGCGTTACATTTTCAAAAAAAATTTTTTCCAAATTTATTACTCAATTTTTCAAAGTAATGCGCTACTTTACTGGTTACTTTTAAAAGCACGTAACTCAAATTATATAGAATGTGTTACCCCCAACAATGCAAGAGGGCTAAAAATTTTGACTTCAACTGTATACAGAGCCCTCCACTAATACTGGCACCCTTGGTAAATATTATATATGTATATAATAATATATTTCCTCATTATATGTGTGCTACAATCATTATCACCTGTATGCATTTATATGCACAAACCTCTTTTGATGTATAGCCATTCCAAATGATGTTTAACATATTTAATACACTTGAGTGACCAGGAACAGGACATTGTTCATCAATAAGCGCAGGACAAACTCACTTAGTCTTTTATCACAGTCAGTAAGACTAAAGAACAGAGCTGGGATTTGCAGCAAAAAAGAGGCTGTAGGAAAAAAGCAGAAACTCTGAAAATGCTCATTTCCACCATCAAGGCAATAATGAAGATATTCCAACAGTTCTGAATGAGCCTGAAAGAAACGGGTGTCTCAGCTTCAGAATCACAGCTTTAGACATGACGAAGTTAGGCCATGTACACATGTACACACAGGTGTTTTGCAAACTGAGTTTTTCATCCACATGCATGTTTAAAAAAAAAAAAACTGCCAAGAAAATGCCAAAGCAACAGGTGATAATATGCTTATTTCATGCGGCCGCCATTTTAAAAACGAAAGTGAGGCTGCGGTGGGAAGAAACCCGGAAGAATAGGATCAGCACTGTAAACATTGCAACAACATGCTGTGGACTACAAACCTCCAGCTTTTGCTGTGACTTAAATATGCAGATATGGTGCAAAAATCACTTTAATATCATTCTGTTAAGTTTAAACAATTAAAGGCATATTAGACATCAAACTAAATCACAATCTCTTCAAGAGTAATACGCTTAAGTGTCTTCCTAGGCTTCAGGTAATTGCAGCAGGTAAACACTTTGGGACACTTCCCTGCTTCAGCCTATGCACAGTAACTCGGTGAGTGATAAAACAATGAGAACGCACTTAACATTGGACTTTTTCTTACAAATCAGTACCTATTGGTGCCGAAATTCAATATTGTGACAAATATAATATAGTGAAAGAATCGGTGTTAACTTGAATTTGATAAATGGCATCTAAAATGTGTGTTTGGGAAGAAAAACGTTAGCTAACTGGTGCCATTTCCCTTAACTTAGCTGAAAATGAGGTCTGATGTCCCTTTTTATTTTCACTAACCATTCAGAACGGACCTTTGAGTCACTCGGAAAGCGGTGAAATGATCAATTTGTATCACTTTCTCTTCGCTGATAAGATATACATCCAGCAACACAACGTTCCTGTGTGACTCCAGACAATACTTCCAGGTTTCTTCCCACCATACTTGTGAATTTCTTCTTCGGTTTTAAAATGGCGGCCGCATGAAATCAGTCTATGGACTCCCAACCGTAAAATCATGTTGACCAATCAGAAGCCCCAAAAAAGACGATTATCTGTTCCCTTTGGGTGTTATTACAGTAAGCATTTTCAGTTATCCTGTATTATAATGCAGTAATAATAGCAGCATTTTGCTTATGTTATCAATTGCACAGACTGCACAACAGTAAACAACAAAGATTTGCTAACAAATGTGATATTATAGAAAGGAAATGATACTGCAGATAAGACTAAAACAAACCAAATGTCTTCTTTTTTTTTGTTAATATATTAAGCTGAAATTAAAAATAAATGTTTTTAAAAATCACAACCAACTTTTGTCATTTACCAAGCGTGCCAATAATAACAAAGACCAGTTAAAAATATATTTACAAAAAATCACATGAAGAGAAAAAGAGCAACAGTCATGCATTTTTTCTGTCTTCACCGGTAAATTAAAGCCATAATTATTCCCGTAAGCAATGCAGAGAGCGGGTTCTATTTAAGTTACTACTAAAAGAAGATGCTCCTGTTGATCTTCTGTCTGCTAAAGTGCTTAAAAGTCTCGTGCATGAAAGTCTTGTGTGCCTCTGCCAGCCATCTCAAAAACAACTGCATACCATTTGCATTTATTGGCACATAAGCAGATGCTCAAAATAATAAAAAAAAGTAAGGAAGCTATGCTGCGTGGAAATGGACCACTGGGGATGAAAGGAGAGAAACAGCAGCAATGCATGCTGGGAGATCCATTCTTTGGTCAGAGTTGTGGAATGGCTGATTGTTTGAGTGACGTCTCCTCGGCTTCTCAATCTGCCAACATTTCCCAATCACGATGAGACCCTTGCTGTGACATATGGAGCTACAATGAAAGCTCATCTAAGCGCTGATTGCGATGCGCCATAAACTCTCTGATCAGGCTGTAAGCACAGCTCAGTAGTTCA